TCATTCGGTTTTTCCAGTTGCGAGTCCTTTTTTAAAGCTGATCGTTTTGTGTTCATTTTGTTTAGTTCTTTTTCGTAACAGATTTAATGTTTAGTATAGAGCTTAGAAAAAATTCGCAGTGTGAGATAGGCAAGAAGTAAGGCATGTAGCAACATCAGCACGGAAAAGGGAACTCCTTTAAAGGCAATCGCTGTCTCCATGGGAAATGTCCAAATGACCTCTACACGTTAGTTCTATTTTTTCCAGATCTTTACCACTAGTAGACGTCATGCTATATTCACGGAGACGCACCACTCTTATTTCGTCAGCATTCTAATGCTAAGTGGAAAACCATATTCGTGTAGCATTTGAGAAACAGATTCCCCATTGTTGTAGAGTAGTTTTCACAGTGAAGGCTCGTATTTCGCTAAGTCGGTCCTAAAAGGGTCCGACGTACAAAACGTTAGGAACTTGAAATAAGAGTTAATGACGCAGCAATCTAGTTGTGATGGTTGATACTTCAATGTCCGACATCGACTGACTCACTCAACTATTACAATAGAATAGGTAATGTTCTGGTATAACACCCGTAATACCTACTTGAACTCTGCTAACTTATCCTCACAATCTTCAATCCCAGGCACCTCTTAACATTAACAATCAATCATTACACCGATAGTCTGCGTATCTTTGTTTTGGTTGAATTCTAGTATTTAAAAAAGGCCCAGATTGTGCACTCTTAACTAGATAATGTAACTCTCATAAATGTTGATACTTAAAGATATACGAACACATGGCACAATGGATAAATGCGTTGGTTAGGTACAGTGTCAGGACCCAAAGTTTTGTGAGTTCAATACCTGGTTAAAGCAGTGGAGAGGTTAATTAATACGAGATAACTGCTAACTGACATCCATTAGACATGGCACGTGGAACTAGAACATTCAACCAAAGCAAGTGCAATAAAGGGTTCAGTTCGACATTCCAACCACCTGAAGAAGGCCGGAGTGTACAACGGCCGAAACGATGTAAAGAGTGTTAACGATATAAATAATTTAGTCCTGATTTTCGAATGTCGTTATTACGTTTACTGTTCAGTACACTATTGTATGGTATAAACATTAAGAAATATTTGATAACTCGACTACCCGTGACCAGTTGAGTCAATGACAGTTCAGGTTATACAACATTGAAGTTAATTTCAACATTAAAATATTTTATATTTGAAGTTGAAATAAAAAGAAATTGCTCTATAAACAACACGTATTCTTAAATCTTATTCGCTTAAAAATATGTTTAAATCACATTAACTTAATATATTTTTAATAGGCCCCCAAATTTTTAATCATTTTCACTTGAAAAAAAATTTAAATATGGCAAAACAATATTTTTTAAATATGTAAAATATTATTTGTTTAAAGAAAGCTGAAATATAAATAAGCACGCACGATATCTCAGAGGTGGAAAGAGAGAAGTGAAAAGAGAGAGAGGTGGGAAGAGAGAGAGGTGAAAAGACAGAGAGAGGTGGAAAGAGAGAGAGAGATGGGAAGAGAGAGAGAGGGGTGGGAAGAGAGAGGTGGAAAGAGAGAGAGGTGGGAAGAGAGAGAGAGGTGGAAAGAGAGAGAGAGGTGGGAAGAGAGAGAAGTGAAAAGAGAGAGAGAGGTTTAAAGAGAGAGGTGAAAAGGGAGACGTGGAATGAGGGAGGCGGAAAGAAGCTTAAATCCTTATACACATCACTTTCTTTTCTCCGCCTTCTACACGATAAAAAAATTGCACCTTTCTTTCTCCCACTCTCTATATTTGACCTCGCGTGCCCGGTTGCAAACACACAAGCAAGCAAACAAATTTCACAGAGTTTTAGTATTATAACGATATTACAATTAGTGCAAGAGTGAGACGAAGTCTCTCTGGATCTGGTTGACCGAAAACAGGTCAAGAGAAGTGCGGTTATCCGATATTCATGCTCAGAATGATATCAGATAGAGCAATACAAATGCAGAACGTCACGTATATATGGATATTTACTTGACACCCCCACAGCCACTGAGTTAGGTTCTAACACAAGGTCAGTTTTTAACGTGGGAACCTGAGTGTTTACATTCGGGCCGCTGGTCTTAGTTGGTTATAGCTTTTTCAAACTGGTCAAAGCTAGTCGTAACCGTGATACCACTAGCACAGGGACGAAGCCCTGTGCCAGGTAAGTATATGTCGCATAGATTATGCAAAGGCGTTTCATAAAATACGCCACAAAGAACGACTAGGTAACAATGGTATATTTTGAAAGTATATTGCAATAATCCAGAATATATAACGTCCTGGGTATGACGATAAAATACATCCGCGTCCTGGGTATGGCGATAAACTACATCCGCGTCCTGGGTATATCGATAAACTACATCCGCGTCCATGGGTATGACGATAAACTACATCCGCGTCCTGGGTAAGGCGATAAACTACATCCGCATCCTGGGTATGGCGATAAAGTACATCCGCGTCCTGGGTATAGCGATAAACTACATCCGCGTACTGGGTATGGCGATAAACTACATCCGCGTCCTGGGTATGGCGATAAACTACGTCCAACAGCAAGGCCACTGATAATGTTTTTGAAAAAATAATGTTGCCAGCTATGCGTTTTTGAAAAAAATAATGTTGCCAGCTATACGTTTTTGGAAAAATAATGTTTCCAACTCTACGTTTAATAGTACTATTTATTTAATATATATATATATATATATATATATATATATATATATATATATATATATATATGTGTGTGTGTGTGTGTGTGTGTGTGTGTGTGTGTGTGTGTGTGTGTATGTATATATGTATATGTATATAACTAAATTTGGCATTAAATGACTTACAGTGGTTGATATACCATAAACACCAACCAACCAGAATATATACTGGCAGCAAACCGCATGTATACGGATAAAGGATTATTTTATTAAATATAGAAAAGAGATTGGAGTCTACAACAATGGTGTGTCTTCTCACGGAACTTATTCAAGCTAAACGGTTCTTAGATAATTAAGAGTCCTATCGGGATTCATTTTAGGCAGCCACAAGGGATTAGGAGAGATAGCAAAAGACAAATATTGCTAAGAGTTTCCATGAGCAGGAAGTTGGGAAGAAACATGATCGCCAACCTCCTGAATGCCACGGCACATAGAATGAAACAACTTCTCACTTAGCGACCAATTCGTTTCGCTTTCAGTTGGTTGGAAGGAAATCATGTCGTTAAGTGAGAATGTTATTGAGAACCAAGATCACAAAAGACAAGACATGATGCAGGAAATATAAATTGAGATCTTCCTGAATATCGAACGCTAACCAGTATGGGGGAGGTTTTTCAAATCGTCTCTCCACATGTCATTATTTACTATGCTTACATTCATTTTCAGTTGAGGGTCAAAATTATGCGTCACCCAATGAGAATTACGTACATTACCCACGTTTAGACGCGCCTTTCAAAACATTACACCACCCGGAGGCGGCGGGTAAAGGTACACGTCTTCGTTAGGTTTTATATAAATCAGTAATTTCTTCTGTCGATAGACATATCAGATAATTTCTACCTATTTTTTTCTTGTGTCTATATTAGATCATTAAAAATTTCCTTGTCTAAATGAGATATAGCCTTTAGGGTATTTTTCAAAACATTTTAAATGCTAGTCTTCTGAGTGAAAGCAAAAATGACATGAAAAGACCAAATTTTAATTCCTGGTACGTAAGTATTGATTTGGAGCATACTAACCTGCGCCAAAAACTATTCCGAATAATAACACAGGAACACATCTAATCAATATGTAGAGATTGATTGTTGCAAATATTTTTCTTCGTATTCCGAAACTTGTACATATTGTGTTTCTTGTTATTTTCAGATAATATTTTCTTCTTTTCGTTATTGGATTTTGAATTGACAGCGTCTTCAAGATTTGTTTCTTTTGCAAGAACGGAACTTAACTTAGATGTTGGTTAAAATAACATATTTTAGTGATTACAGATATGGCCTGGGCTACATAAAACCTCCGGCTAGATTAAATACACACACACACACACATACATATATATATATATATAAGTATATACATAAAGTAAATTGCTGATACCTCACTGAAGAATGGATGAACATGTCCGTCTACAAAGACCCCGAGTCGGGATGCTGAAGGCAACATCAATCATACATATATATATATATATACATATATATATATATATATTAAGAAATGGACAAAGTCCGACAATTTATTAAAGACATTTTTTTTTATGTTTAACATTCTTTTTATAGATACAAGTATTTTAGTAAAAAATGTCCGAGAAATTTTTCATAGAAAATATTCGTCCTTTGACAGGATACGAATCTGTATCCTATATCGAACCGTCATTTATCTTGACGTGCCTAACCGCTCGGCCACAAAGGATCGTTCAATGGTCAAGGTCGAATTTACTGCTTATAAACTTCAAAGGACGAATATTTTCTATGAAATTCAGGCGGTAAATGTTATTTAATACTGTTTATTATAAACAGAACATTTGCTAAAATACTTGTATCTATAAAAGAATGTTAAACATAAAAATGTCTTTATATATATATATATATATATATATATATATATATATATATATATATGACCAAGTTAACAACAATCATCTAAGTGACAAACTTTTACTCATTTTAATCCTAATACACTTGCAAACACATTGTGGAAATATGTGAATCCATCTCTTCAACGCTAGCAGTATAGCCTAGATGATATAGCCTTGGCTGTCCACCGTTTATATATATGTGTGTGTGTTTGTATTGTGTCGTGATTGTGTGTATGTGTGTGTGTGTGTCTGTGTGCCTCTGCGTGCGTGCAAATACCCTTGTCTTTTAGGACAACCTGTGTCCTATAGCCTTTGGTGACGAGAAGACAGTTGACAATTCTAAGACACATGACGAGAATGAAACAAAACTCCAAATATTTACGAAGGACATGAATTTGTGCACAACTATGAAGGGCCACGGTACAAAGAAGAGGAACATATTTCAAAGATGAAATATAAGATATATGCAATCTTTCTTCATTATGACACGTATGAGATGGTTGAGTATTATGGCATGGATGATATGTATTTAAACAATTATTCTATGACCGTCTTATAGTACGTCCGCTTTTGACTATCAAGTATAAGCTGATGGACATTATCGAAAGACATAACATTTGCCATAACACTAACGCAGCGGATACTCGTAAAAACTCGCGGGCTATGCGTTCCACGTGCTTTTTGAAGGGTAAAAGTCAGAAGCATCGTGATAAATTCTGGCTGAAAACCCGAGGGCACAGATTAGATATGTCAGTGTGGATTTGCAGTTTGCAGTCAAGTCGGTTTCGGCAAGAGAGGCATTCCTTGCGCCTACTTAATGAAATGAGAATCCATCAGATGAAGTGAAAATTGATATTTGAACTCACGTCCTATATGCTTCAGGATGAGCGCGTAGCATAACACTGATATATATATATATATATATATATATATATATATATATATATATATATATATATATATATATATATATATATATATATATATATATATATATCAAGGATAGTATTGTGGAAATTGTATGACAACGTAGAAAAAAGTATACTCGTGACGCGTTTCGTCCTTCAGGACTTCATCTGACTAAATTTTTTCTGTTGGTAGGACTACCCATACGCACAAAAGAGAGGTGCTCAGAAGTTTATATATATATATATATATATATATATATATATATATATATATATATATATATATATATATATCTAGACTAGAATTCATTTAGTATGTTCTTCTTTCTATCACTCTTCTAAGTTGGTATTCCACACTGTAATATTAGAAGATTTACCAGGAACAGAGAAATGTTGTAAGAGCCAGGACGCGAATTTACTGTAGGTGACGTTGCGATAAAGACACTCACTAGATAACGAAAAAAAAAAAGAAAAAAAAAAGCTCAGAATGAATTCGTCCAGATAAAAAAAAGCAAAAAAAAATAAAAATAAAAATAAAAATAAAATTCCCAGCATACCTCTGTCGTGCGCATGTGTGGTCCTACCAATATACCAAATTTAGGCCGATGAAGTCTTGAAGGATGAAACGGGTCACAAGTAAACATTTTCCATTTTGTCATACAATTTTCCCATATCTATCTATCTATCTATCTATCTATCTATCTATCTATCTATGTATCTATCTATCTATCTATCTATCTCATTTTCTCTGTCCCTGCCTCTGTCTCTGTCTCTCTGTCTCTCTGTCTCTGTCTGTTTGTCTCTCTCTCTCTCTCTCTCTATCTATCTATATATATATATATATATATATATATATATATATATATAGATATAGATATGTATATATATATATATATATATATCTTGTGTATATTTTGACAGCATGATTTCCTTAAGACATGTCGCATGAAATAATGCAGACAAGTGTTGTCTACTTGTTTTAACTGGATCCTCTCGTAATTACTGGCAAGTTATATTAGCCTTATTAAAGGAAGATGAAAATTACAATGTTCTTTGATATTCCTTTTATTATGAGTATTTTCGGCATTAGGGCAATGGCGTCATCAATATCCTGTTTTTACTAAGACACAAAATTTTTGTGTTCATTAGTTTTCTAAGATAAATTGGTTTTCATCTGAAAATGAAAGTTTTTCGTGTGAATTGAAAAACGCTAAATTATGTATTGTACAATTTTTAAATTTTATCTTGTAGACAGGTGTGAATAATATATATATATATATATATATATATATATATATATGTATATATATATATATATAATTTACATATATATTTTATATATGTGCGGTGCTTATTGCAAAGCGCTCAATATCAGTCATAGAGCGAACATATTTAGTTGAAGGGATATGAATTTGTGACGCTGGTTTCGCGCTTACGTAATCCTCACACGAAGAGACTGTCTGGGGATATGAAACCCAGGCGTCTAAACCCATATCCATTTAACTTAATATATATATATATATATATATATATATATATATATATATATATATATAAATATAAGACAATAAGAAAACTGTAATAGATGCCGACGCGAAACAAAATGAATTTATTAAACAAAGTAACTAATAATAACAAAAGAAAATGTCCTTAGTAACTGGGAGAATTTAGAGAACGCTATTTTCATACTTTAAACTGAAATTACGTCAATTACTGTCACATGTAGAGATATCGTTTTTATTTCTCTGTTGACGGAATCAATCATTTTCTTTTGATTTCTTGATACTGTTTTATACGTTTGTTTGGAAGAGTAGTAATTCTATTAAGAAAGGTGAAATAGGGAAAAGCCCGAGCGTAGATTAATATTTGGGTAATATTCAATGGCGGCACTCTCTAGGATTTTTCCTTCTGAGTGAGTTAGTTTTTTTTGTGTTTTTTTTATGAGTGTAGCAATTTTGAAATTAAAATTGCGGTTGAATTTATTTCCATATATGACAATTGCATTAGCTAAGTTGTTTTTTGTGAAGTCTCTGTGCTCATAAATGCGTTTTTTTTTAATTTCTACTTGTCTCTTCAATATATTGGGAGGGACAGTTTTGGCAATTTATTTTATAAATGCCTGCTTCAGAAATATTGTTATTAGTGTTTGATGAACTGAGTATATCCATGATGATTTTGGAAGTCTTTGTGATTATTTTAATTTTATTTAGATGGGATAGTTTATTCTGGATAGTGGGCATGACAGAGTTTTGATATTATTAGTTACTTTGTTTAATAAATTTATTTCGTTTCGCCTTGAAAAAGTTCACATCGGACGAAACGCGTCGGCAACTATTACAGTTTTACTATTGTCTTTTACATTTATAAATATTGTCTTTTTCTACAGGTCAACACTGAGAAATTTTTCATATATATATATATATATATATATATATATATATATATATATATATATATTGTGTGTGTATTTAGGCAGCATCTTTTCATTTATACACGTTTCATTAAATAATATAGACAAGTGTTGTCTATTTATTTTATGTAAATTTTTTTCGTAACGTCTGATAAGTTAAATAACATTATCGTTGAACGAAGAAAGAAATTCACAATATTGATCCATATTTTTTTTTAATACAATCTAAGCTTTCGGCTTACTTAAGTGATTATCAAAGATGTCAATTACAACATATTAAGCAATATACGGGCAAGACAGTGATGATAGTCTGTCATTGTTTACATAGATGATTTCTAAGCAACGATAAACACGTGCATATAGATGCTATAAGCGAAAATCGCACCGCATCTCATGACGTCACACATGACCACACGAGAGTGAATTGGAGAAGTATGAAGTATGGAAAGCCGTTGGTATAAACCAATGGCTTCTGTTCCCAATTATAGACATTTAAGAATATTTGTAGAGATGCCATAATTGATTTTGTTTAGGTTGGGTTTCAACTGTTTGATGTATAATGCTTCAAGGATTTTTAGTTTTTGTCTATTGTTTTCATGTCGAAATATAATTGTGTTTTCGACAAATATTGTACGGAATTGTGTGTGCGGACAGGCATGTTGTTTTAAATGCCTAAAAATGTTAGAGTTTTCATTAAAATGTAGTGTCAAGCGTCGTGAAAGCGAGTTTGTGCTGTGACCAACATAAATATTATTTAATTCGTTGGAGATACACTCTCCCAAAGGGCACTTGAATTTATAAACTATGTTGGTTGTTTGATAATCGCTAACCGGGGGAGAAGAATCATTGCGAAGTATTAAGTTGGATATACTAGATTTAGTGTAGTATATGATTAATTTAATTTTTTTGCTAGGATCTTTAGTTGATATATTAGAATTTACTATATATATATATATATATATATATATATATATATAAGGTAGTGTGGCAAACTTAGATATACGTTATAGTGAAAGTGTGGATAATTTTTTACTTATATATAATTTAACAGTTACGGAAATGTATTGAAAATTTCTCGAACCAAACCGATTTGTAAAAATAGGTGCAATAAATAATCATCATTTTAGTTCCACTCAGAACTCTTTTCAAAATCACTTCCACGTACGTTGCAATAAAAATATTGATTTTGGGAAATCGGTCGAGTCGAAAGGTTTTCGTATAAAAACCAACATCAAGGTTTTCCGCAGAAATGCCCTAAAATATATCGGCCAAAATGATGAAAAGCAAAGATAAAATTACCGCTTCAATCAGTGATGTCGGTCATAAAACGCCAGAAGATTTAAGCGGCCATGATTCCGTCAGCATTTCTTTTAATGTATCAAAATGTTGACCCGAAAACCTAAAGACAAAGAGTCTAACTTATTGCTATTGTTTACACTATCTAATACTCTGACACTAGGCAGATAAATTTTGTCTTTCCTTACGCTGAGGTAATTACTACTTAATTAGTTTCATTAATCTTATATTATAATTAATTACATTGAAGCAGATGCGCCTATAAATTGAGATTGGCCATAAAATTTTTTCATTGCTCACAATAAGAGTTTACGTCGAGATGTCAATGACATTAATGATTCCATGAACATAAAATAAACTCCGCTTGATGTAGTCTCGGCCAACATCTCGAACTGTTACAATCATAAAACATTAAAATAAAAAAAAAAAAAAGAGTCATGTTCTTAGATAGCCTGGCCAAATCGAGATTTTTCATGTGGATTCCATAGGAGACACCAAACACGTTTAGAGATATCTAAACTGTCAACTGCATACAACCGCTTTTTCGGACCAGTGATTACAAATGCTTTCGAACGAATGAAGCTGAAAGCTTTTAATGGGAACCGCAATTCTTCGAGAACTAGGAATTGGCGTTTCAGAATTACAGATAACTGCACCAAATAACAAAAATCATCTACTCAGAATTTGGACATACACCCTTGTGCATATTAATTGAAACAAAAGTGAATAATTCCGTTATTATTTATTTTTTTCATATTTTTCCAATGAAACATGACCCAATACACATGTTAGTACTTCATATATTTATTCAATGAAGTCATTCCTTGCAGACTGCCCACAGATTCACGATTGGATTTTAAAGAAGAATTTTAGGACCATTCTCTAATACTTTGATTTGATCACTGCAAGACTTGCCAGTGTGTTCGTGCAGCCTTACAATTTTCATACGCTTTTTTTGGAGTAACGTCCATCGCAGACAATGGCAACAGGACAACTAATCGACAGTCAAGACATTAGTGTCTTGGCGTTATAAAAATCTGAGGCATTCCAGGATGACGCGATATTTTTCAAGACCAAACAAATTTCATCAT